ATGATTAATAAACTCGTGGAGGAATCTAAAAGCTCACTTCATTTGAAATTGAAGTATGCGCTGAAGATGTCATCTAGTAGGGTGATGAAAGCTTAGCAAATTAACTATCCAGCTCAGAAAACACAACGACATCCAAAATTATTCATCTGTTCATGGCTTAAATTCCTGAGATTTAGTGAATATCGGCATTTTACGTATTCTGTCTAACAAAACGACTGAGATTTCGCGGCCGTTGTTGTCGTTGTTGCTGCTGCTGCTGTTGTCCGTTGCCGTCATCACTTTTCTAGTCCGATATTTGTGTTTATCTCACTGTAGGGAATATTTTCAAGTTCTGGAGGTGCATTCTAGTCAAGTCTGGATGACTTCATGGCGCAATAACACCCCTCTATCATAATAGAAACAAAATGGAGTTTTCACTTCTTTAAAGCATTTCAAAACCCTAAATGAACTTTATAGTAATAGATCCTGTGGTGAGAGCTGGCTGCTAGACAAAGTTGGTAGACAGTAATTGACGTCAATGTTTATGTCAGCAATATTGGTGGTGAGAAAATGAGAACAAATGCTTTGCGTAGGCGGATACAGTTAGCGTATGGATGATCTGACACAGCCACAAAGAGATGCAAGGTTAACTTTCTGTGAGAAACAACCAACCAAAAGGCTGTATTTTCTATTAACAATAATCTACAATAATGTACATAAAGATCTATAAATATGTGTTGATTTTCCTTAATAAACGATCTGTTGCCTGGCCCTTGTCTTCTGTTGTTACATTTGGTGTCACTGCCTACTGACAAATGGAAAGCCTATGCCCTGCAGTTTTTGATGGAGACATATGGATCTTTGGGCAGGACTTTGAGGCTTCTTCGCAGTTGAGTGGTGTTCAAGATCTGTCAGCGATGAGGCTACTACTTGGGACGCTGCTGGAGGTCGGGAAAAGCAGCATATGAAAGTGTGAGGCGAAATACCTAAGAATATGCGACAGGGTCAGGCAAACAGTTTCCAAAGTGGGAAGGACCACATATGGTCGCGTTGAGATGGGGTTACGCAGACACAATCGCACTGGTAAACACAGAGAAACAGGTGAACATCCGCAAGCGCCGAGATTCCAGACAGCAAGACAACTTTATAGTAATAGATCCTACATAATTATCCTAAAACCTAACAAATGTTACTATGAAACATAAAATGTTATCCATTATTCTTTGATTGGAAAAGCAAATTCATCACAAATGTCTCATTTGATGATATTAGAAAACTGGAAGGAAAAGTAACATCTCATGGCTAGTAAAACTTTGCTGTGACGACATTATTGATTAAAGAGGAATATCATTCTTTGATATGCATGACATCGAATCTGAAATCCATAAAACTCTCTTTTTATTAAGAGAAACTTCAGCAGGCTGTGAAATAAACTGGTGGGTAATGAGAAGCAGTGGAACCCAGTGAGCGGTGAGCATTTCGTCCTATATTTGGGACTCATCATTTGAATGTATCTGGATTCCCCCACAGTGAGTGAGTGAGTCAGTGATGGTGCCCCGCTGAGGCTCGATTCCAGTGCTCATAGTTTCAAACTCTAAAGCGTGTTATCCCCTGAACCAGTTGGGTCACGAAAGCCACCTGCTGTGCAATGGGTATTAGTAATTATTGAATTCAATCTGGACATTCCTATTGATTGATTGGTTGATTGATTGATTGAACCTGAAGAAAAGAGCACTTCAGTTCAATCAATCAGCAGGGAAGTCCAGATTGAATTAAACAATAATTCAGCAAAGTATCTCTTCTAAAAACTTAAAATTATATAATAATTATTATTATGATTATTGCAATAGATAACCTAACAAGGTCAAATAAGTTAACAGTAGGAAGCAAAAGGTATGTAAAACAAAACTACTAAAGTTTTACCAAGTTGACGGAGAAAAAAGTGCACCATTGCTCTGCACTTAAATATAAGACACAGACAAAGACAGAGATGAACAGAAACAATAATTATGTATATTATTATTATTATTGTTTCCTTTAATTCCTAGAGGAACATAGAGCTTCAGCCATGCGTCTCCATTGCGTTCGGTTCTCTGCTAGAGTTTTCAACTGGCTCCAAGTCTGCTCATACGCTTTCATCTCCTCTTCACATGACCTCCTCTAAGTCACTCTTGCACTGACGAACAACTCGCCGTTTCCCTTTCGGCCGGGTTCCACTCGAGCTATGGCCTGTTTTGTGATATCACTTGATGGATTTTTTCTCCGAGTATGACCAATCCGGCTCCATTTCTTCTTGCATATTTGTTGCACAATTTGTTCCTGGCTGGTTTGCTCCTGGAGATCTCTGTTGCTGATCTGTTCTGACCATCTGATCTTGAGTGGTATTGAACGAAGAAAACTGTTAATGAAGGTCTGTAGTTTGTTTGAGATGCTCTTTATGACGCGCTGGCCAAGTCTCTGATCCGTATAGTAGCACTGACTGACTTCATATTGGAGTTGAAAATCCGGATGTTATTTTTGATGCTGAGTGCTGTTGACCTCCACACAGACTTGAGAGTAGTGAAAGCTTGTCTTGCTTTTCCGATTCTTGCTTTGATATCCTCGTCAGTTCCGTTCGCCTGTAGTTGAAACGATGCTTTCCAGGTAGGTAAAAGAGGTTGTTTCTTTCAGGTTCCTCCCATTTATGCTGGCTGATTGTTGTCTGTTGTTGCTGTTGCTGTTGGTGTTGTTGCCTAGGAATCTTCATTACCTACCTCTGTTTTCTCTATGTTCTCCTGAAGTCCTATCTTTGATGCTTCTTATGTATATACAACCTGGTAATTATGCCAATTAATTCAGTTTGTCACAAATTCATATAACAAACAGAACTACTGATGTTAGATGGTTGGAGGTAATCAGCAGGAAGCCTTGGACCTACATAAATATGCACGGTAGCCTGTTGGAAATAATTTTGGTGACACATGAATTCTCTAAACCCCTACAGAAACAGTGACTTGATATTATTATTATTATTATTAACGATAATATTATATTTTTCAGCACAGGTTAGCATCACGTGATATTAAACTGCTAAGACTTAAGTAATATGAAGCATTCAGTGCTTCAGTGATTTGGCGCCTGAATAGCCGAAGAAATTCCCAATGAGTTGCTTTCATTCGATAGGGAATATCAGACTGCCAGAAAAAAATATATATATAAGCAACAAGGAGCTCCAGCAGGTGGAGAACCACCTGATTAACTTACTACCTAACAAAGACACGCTGGAAGAAGTCGGGATGGATAAAACACAAACACACACATGAGAAGGCATTCAAATGATACCACACTTCGTGTTTTCGAATGCAACTCGATTAGGAAACAGACAGCTGAAACATAAACAAGATCTTAAGAGGTAGACGGAATGGAAACTTGTGGACGGTGGTACGGCCAGCTAGAAGTGATATCAGTGACCCAACTGGAATGGAAGCGTTCAACCGAAACCTTATATTTCACTCGAAAGACAAGGAATGAATACTAATAATTAACATATTTAAGAGCATTACACTCTAAATAGACATGAGTCATGTTATACACAATTCACAATTATCACTTGAGAATTTAGTCTTTTAACTAAATCGTTTACTGTGATGTAAAAACTGTAGCCTAACTGAAGTCTATCAAGTTGTTAGAGCGTTTGATTGAAAATATCCAATGAACAAATGTGGATAAGTGTTAGACAGTTAAACATGTCTAGAAAAATAGTTTCAGTCAGTGTTAGAACAAAATCAGTAGGGCATAATCTCAGAATAACTGCTTTCTGTATTACCTAAAAGCTTTATTATCTACTTATACCAACAGAGGTGTTATTAGTGGGATAGAAATTGATCAAGCACAGAAGTGGATTAAGTAGACCTATTGAAGACCGGTGGAATAATGCTAATGTAGTGTCAAATAATGAAGAGAATTATATCGATGAAGTATTTGCAATACATTTATTAGGAGATAAAAGGTAAATCATATCATCAGCCTCATCATTTATTTCCTGAGGAAATCTTCATATCTGTTGACAACACTTTGACACTTGGACAGTCGATATTCAATTATTGGTTTATAGAGATTCGACTGATTGGTTGCAGGATTTATCCAATGAGCTGACGTAGGTGTTAGACCGTGAGCAGAAGTTGGAATTCATGAACCATTGCATCGGTTCACAGTGACTGAATTGCCTATGAGCTCACTGGCCTTATAACCAGAAGGTCCCGGTGGGTGCGTACTGCTGAAGAGTCCAAAACTAGGAGGAAACAACTGTCGAGTACTCCAATGGTGGTTTTCCAGTGGTTCTCTAACCGATGTCAACTCATGATTGAATCTTGTCACCAAGTGAACAGTTGAATTCAATCGATAACTGAAATTAATTAGCGCAGTGATTGATTTCTCTTCAAGTGGAAATTTAATTTTTATTATCCAAGAGTAATTGAACACACACTGATTATATATATTTGGTAAAATTGCTCTGTACAACTCTTAGCCGTAAATCAATATAACATTGAAAGGTTTAAAGATGAATGCCATTGTATCAGGATTGCTGAGTGAAATAAAAACGAAAAATTGAGTCTGTTCACAGAAAATAATACCAGCATGTCCTAGAATGCCTTGTTCCTGAACAATATGAAGAAGGTGAGATCAGGAAAAAGAGTTAAGGTTAGACTACCGGATGATGTACCTCAAAGCCCTTTGTAGCTTCCTTGACGACGGTAAGCCCAAAGAAGAGAGGTTTGATGCGAGACTATTAACTCCAACCGATGGAGGCGTAATATAACATCACTGGGATTAAATCTTCAGAGTCTGAACTCCTATATTCCACCTAGAATACCGCGAATCACAAGAATCCAGAAGTTAATTACAAATATATCAAAGAGAAGTGCAGTATCCTTCATATATTATTAGTACCTTTTGTACACATGAGATCCAACATATATTACTAAGAACAATTGGAATAATTAAGATTCAGTTCAAACAAGGATCAAGCCTTTATCACTCACCCATGTCCCATTGCACCATTGGCAGGTTTTTGAATGAAACAAGTATTTGCTCCTTGTCTGTATAACTTTTTAGCATAACTTTGAAAATAACCATATTCTTGTGGTAGAACCCAGGTATTCGGCATAAAATTATATTCATTCGGTTCAACTTTTTGCATTCTATAAAAGATATAAGTAATGGCATGAAACAAAAAATAATGATGACGGGATAAAAATGAAGGCAAGAAACCAAACAACTCAGAAAGCTGATGTCGAGAAACAAGTGTATAGTAAAACAAACAAATTGCGTACTAGTTACAGAATTTTATCATGAGCTGATATCAGTTAGAGAACCACTGGAAAATCTGGGAGTACAGGACAGTTGTTTCATCCTAGTTTGTGTGTGTGTACTGATGAAGAACCCCAAACTAGAACGAAACAGATAGCTGTCCAGTACTCCAGTGCTGGTTTTCCAATGGTTCTCTAACCGATGTCGGCTCATCATGATGAAATCCTGTAACCAATCAATCAAATCCCTACAAATCAATACTTGAAATTCCATACTAGTTGAAATCTTTAGCACAACGTTCAGGTTATTTCTTCATCTTCTCTGTGAGGGATAATCAATTCGTCAACCATAGAAATATGAGTTTTAATGAGGAATCACATATTCCTACTTTCTCTGAAGTTCCATCAAAAATGATAACTAGTGTATCCGATAAGATGAATTCATTTTATTAATTCATAGGATTTTCGTTCGGAGTCAGTGTAACTATAACTGAATAATCTATTCATTTTCCAGAAGTAAAAATAAAAAAGAGCTGAAAATTAGGATGAGGTACAGGTTAAACAGGAGGTCAGAGCATTCAATTATGATAGATTTGGTGACTAACCAACAAAATCATGGGCATGCACAGATGAGTCGCAAACTAGGATGAAACCTTGAGAAAGCTTATGTTATGACGTCACCAGTCAATATTATTGTATAACGCTGCGTGATTTATCAAAATAAAATCTTATCTATAATGGAGTTAAAACTTATGTTACAACTGAGCCTACTGTTTTTAATCGTTGACACCAATTTAGAACATATATCTTTGGGCTATAAGAGTTTCTTTAAAATCAGTTGGAGAAATGTTCTGTCCCCCTAGTGATTGCTAAATCATCCATACTCTAATAATTTACCTTCGCAAAAGGAAAAACGGTTTCAGCATATTTTTAGCAGGAAATTAAACTAAACTAAGAAAAATAAAGAAGGTTTAAAAATATTTGAAAATAATGGAGGGCTACCATCAAAAATGAAAGGTGATATTTAATAATGATTGCGTACTCCTGACATAAAAATCAAACTAGATGAGAAATAAATACACTGATTCAGAAGAAAATCAGCGCAAGTCCATTAAAATGATACATTGACAGCGGTTGATCAAAATGTTTAAGGTGTTTACAACAAATATGCGTCCCGGGAAATTCAATTGTATTTTGCATGTAATGTCCTTTGTTGAAAACATATGCCACCAGAGTAATTGCACCAGAGGTTTTCAAACAAACAAGCTACTGATATTTTTTCCCAGATATCCAATATTCAATATCGTTTTCACGAGCTAGTATAAACCACTTTGATTTCTTTGTGCTCGCCTCTTGATTGTGAGGTAGAGGTTCCTGATCTTCAGTAAACTTCTGCGTAGCTCGTCCCGCCACTTGACTGCCATAGCTTTGGTTGACTCCAAAAGGAGTAGTGCAGGGATTACTTATATGTGGTTTGCAGTATGAGGTGTGTTAAGACTGTTACTACTGTGAATGGAGTTGATCCTTTCACCAGTTGGTCCTTCGGTATCGTCGTCAATAGAAAAGAGATAATAATAATAATAGATATAATTAGTGAAGGTATTCAGACTAACAGACAGAAAAAGAAAAAGAAACAGTTAACTTAATTGCTGACAAGCATATCATCCTAAAAATGCTTTTCCGCGTAATCTTTCTGGATGTAAGGTAGACTGTTAAGTAAACTAGAATAATGGCTATTTAAGTAGATGAGGCTGTCCAAATTTGAGAGAATAACAATGCAAAATTGTATCTGGAAACACACCAAGGAATTGTATTAAATGCTCAAAAGCCATTTCGATGCTATAAACCGAACTATTTCTTTCATATGTATATAAGTCAGGTAATTTCAAAAGCATGAAGTTATAGAGCTTAAAAAACAGATGAATGAACTTACTTACTTTGCAAAGTTTTTAGCAAGAAAATCCTTTCTACATATCTCGATCATTCCTGGAAAGTGATTCACTCTTTGGTATGGCTTTAAGGACATTAGCTTTTCCAGTGACAAGAAATTATCACTCCATATCAAGTACCTTAATTTTGCAATTCATTTACCTCACATCTTACGCATCATTAAAATCATCAGTTTCCACAACTGTGAAACCGGCTTCTTTGACACATTGCTTCACTACGCATAAGTCGGTAAGAATATTGAAGCCAACCTATATCATATCGTGAATCTTTCAGGTTTGCTTTAACCTTCGCTTTCTTTCTTTCTCTTATCAGTTTTTGGGCCTTACTGTTATGCAGTAATTTAACACTCCCACTATGCATGCGCACATGTTTATTCAGATAAGATAAAATCTCTTCTGCATTTAAAAAGTTATTAAAATATTTTAATGACCTGTATTTGACATCCAAAGTATTTGTTAAGAAAAACAAATTCCAACGAAATCATGAATTATATTCATGTTGCGCGGTGATTAGTTTAGCTGCTATAACATTGAAAACAAGACATTCAAAAAAACAAGCACAATACCTCGTGGAACATGTGATAATATTCATTCAGTTGAAGTTTTTCAACCTCACAAGCCATAAGTTTTAGTTTAATTCACATAAACTACTGACAATTATTGTAATATTCAGTTTAGCTGCTGCCTCATTTTAGGCAATTATGCGTATTACTTGTTTACAAAGGGTTAAAAATGTTTTTATCTAAGTTTCGTCATCTCAATTATTCACTGGTGTGCTAGCCAAATACCTTTCGCTTATAAATTTCTTACTGCTAAAACTCACGTATTCTCTGAGTCCATAGATCAGCCATACTAAATAACCTCAAATTTTTATTCTTCTCAAATATCCTGCCCATCAGAGCATATTATTAAATAACTAAGCCTCTTTGATTTGCTTTTTTTCATCAGTACTTACAAGTCAGATAACGTACTGGCTGGCATTATAACTAGGCATACTACGTTTAATAAGGCTAGTATAGTGTAGCTAATCAGCAACACAATCAGTACTTTACAAACATTTCCTCCATAGCTGATAGTTATAGCCAGTTTGTGGGTTTACATAATCCACCTACACTTTTATTATTCATACCACGTTACTTAACCAAGAAAACATCCGACATATGAAGAATAAGTTTAATTACCAACCCTACTGATTTACTGAAAACAGAACCATGGTTCCCACTACGTATCTTGGAAGTGCACTAATGTGAGGATGACTACACTATCTGCCGCATGGATAGATATGACAAGCTCGGAAGATAGCCTCTTATTCAAGTATCTGAATCTAGTTTCAGATGGAATGACGTCGATTCATAAGATATACTGTTAGTGAATATTATGCCCGAAGATTCTGAAGAGGGAGTAAATATTTAACTGGGAATAAGCTGAGAATCTTGCATAATGTGTGAACATAATTTCAAGGATAAAACTTTTATTATGTACATAATACCAGTGAGTTAAGTAATACTGAAGCCAGAGTACTGAATGTGGTGGATTATTGCCTACCTCTCACAAGGTAAAAATATCAGACTGTCTGTCGGTCACCATGCTTGACATCTGAAATTGGTGAGCTTAAAGTTGAATCCTTGTCACATGTATTGTCAATGTAGTTGAAGAATGAACGATCAATTCATAATTGTTGACTCAAAACCAACTCCATATTTTGGCGAGAGTCATCGATACTGCAGTCATCGTTCCATCGTTCGCTGTTCGTTAGAAAACGAAGAAATACTATCAGAAGTATTATTGTGATTAATTGTTATGACATTTATTCTTAGACTTTGTGTATAATAACCTTATTGTTGGTTCCATATTGGTGCGAGAATGAAGGATTCTCGAGCCACCGATCCGTGCTGTGCTTTCTCGCGTTGGTTGCTGCACATTGTTGCTGAAGGTCTTCTAAGGACAATGTTAAGTCCAGTGTAGTTAGACCAGGACATTGACATGTATAATTTAATTTCAACGTAATTGTGGGGTCTTTACTATCTTATAAATCAACCGATTACGTGGCTACGGTTCGAACGCTTCAACGAAGTGTTTGTTGTGGGGCAGAGCCTCTATAACACATTAGTCTATGGCTACTCCGATGCAGCAAGCAATAGAGGAATGCAAAAGGATAGGACGGGCAACCAAGTAGGAACTATATCATTATCATTTGTGAAGCTTTCTTTATCTATTGAATGATGAGTGCCGTTCCGTGTATTTGACCATATTTTCCCCGCTTCACTTGCCCTCTGCCATGTTTTCTAAAATAGAGGTTCAGAAGCTCCACTGGTCTTCCACGGCGTTACGATTATCTGAGTAATTATTCTGACAGATAAGTCGGTTTTTAAAGTACTTCGCGTTGTACCACTACATAACCCCTTTTTCTACCTGTGCTTGCAAAAATTAATGTCCATTTAATGGTACTTTGATCGCTACACATCTTGTCACTGATAACCGAAATGAGAAGTGTCCATTGAGTATGGATTATGCTGTGCAATCGACAGGGGATATTCATTGTTTGCTCCATAACAAGACAATCCACAGCAAAACAGCCGACATCTGTAAACTGTCAACCGACTGATTCCTTTCAGAGTCCCAAAGGTGCTTTCTTAAGAAGAGGTCCTACATCATCTGTATTCTGGATACTTCAGATACATCACTGGTATTCATGAGGCATACAAATTAGTCATTGTTACATTCTTCCAAATGTCAAAGGCATTCGTCACAGCATCCTACAATAGACCCTTTGAGCTGTTATCTTTAGGAATTCGCAACCATTTCTCAGTGACTGAATGCAAACGACCGAAATAGAATCTGCACTACCTAACCCTAGGTGGATCATAATTTGCGTTACAGAGAGTAACGTTCTCAAGACACTTCTGTTTTTCTCCCACATCCACAATATTCATCATGGCTTC